CACAATGATTAATTTAAACTTAATATAATATAACGCTTAAATAAATCAAAGTTAGAGAAATTATCAATGTTTGTTTCTAAATTTCTGCAGAGCGTGTATAAAAAAACCCAGCGAAAACGTTTGTACTAATGTTATAATAATCTATAGGAAAATAATTTTCGCTTGAAGTCTATTCGATCTAGGGAGGAAATTCTAATAACATATTTTTACTCTGTGCATTTAATGTATCTGTGCATAGCGTCCTCTCAAAGTACATATAAACTGTGAGTAATACTTTATCAAACATTTTATGCAAATTTATTTATTTATTTATAAGATCCAATCAAGCCATTGATGGTTGTTTTGGATTTTTCGCTGTTAATAATGCTCCCGGTGCCAATGTCGTTTGGCCACGAAAATATTATGGAAATATTCTGTTTAGTAGAATCAAACAAATTATTATTATTATTTTTTAATTAACAGAGAGAAACGCTGAATTCCTTTTTTCAATATTTTATTCTAATTATATATAAATGAGTCATTAAAAAAAAAAGTAAATTTTGAACTATTTACCAACATTTTTTCCATTATTTTAAGAGCTTAGTGTGGTCTGTAGAGTGTTCTTTTTTATCAATAAAAAAAAAAAAAAAATGTTTATAAAAATATCATTGAATTGACAATGTATTATCACTATTTACGTCAGTAAAAACGGACCTACTACTTTTCGGTATTTTGGCATTGAGTCATAAATCCTATTAAGGCGTAATTGAAACGTTAAAAATATTTTTTTTTAATTTTTCAATATTGGAGAAAATTTTCTAGGAAACGGACGTCTTAATAGAGAAACGTCTGACGAAATAGGTTTAAATAATTGTATTCATTCAGCCAGTTATGATGACCATTGGACTTTGGAATAAAAAAAATAGCTTTACATGTCTATAAATTAAAAGTATTTTTTCATTAAATTGATAAGAGTGCTTTAATTGTACGAAATTATAGATGTATAATCACAGATACGATAGTCAATTAATAGTAGAGGTTTAAAGATAAAATTTTATAAAGATTAATTAGTTTAAAAAAAAAAAAAATAAATAATGAACAAAAAATACAATAATGAAATAATTTAATACCTACAGAAGGACGTTCTAGGATAATGGGAACGGGTGCAGCAACTATTATAAGTAATTTAATGTATATATGTAAGCAAAGATAAACCATTGCTTAAAAAAAACGATTCTGACAATATTTATGCTATAATTTAGTAAAAAAATTAAGTAGGCTCTATATATTTTTTTTAATAATATTAGTATAATGTTGTATCGATTCCCTCAATTTTTCCACGTTTTTCCCGGTTTTCCTATGTTTTTTCCCAGTTTTTCACTGTTGTTAAGAAAACCCCGGATAAAATTGAAAAATGACCTCTTTAAGGTATCACCCCACACCGATTTCTTTTCAGAAAAGTTGCTACACGTCAAATTTGGAGCAAGTTTTCTGGTAGAAAAGTTGTCCACAAATTAAAAAAAAAGTAAACATCCGTCTGAAACTATAAGCTTCTTCGCTCCACTCAGAATCTAATACATGATTTACTCTATCAGAGTAATACTTTTTTTAGACATTTTATTACGAATAATTATTTAATAAAATAATACCTTATTAATAGTTTAAATGCCATTTTTTAGATAAATGTATTTGAATAAAATTAGTGGGTCATACAATAATTAATTTATTAATATAAATTATTATAATTATTATAATTATTATTAATTTATAAATATATAATGAGAACTATGCTCTAACTGTAAATTTCCTTATCATTATATTTAATTTATGTAATGCTTAAATGCAAGTATAAGAATATTGAATAATATAGTTTTCCCATAGATAATTATTAATTAGTATATTGTATTATTTATATATGTTGAGTATCTATAATTGTTTATTTATAGATAATTTTTATTGAAATATATTAAATCGAAATACTTAGTGATAAATAAATATAGGGAAATTTAAATAAAATTATTGAACAGATAATTAATTTATGAATTTTTTTAATTTTATTTATTAATATAAAATTATGAATTTGAATACAAACTAAAAATATGCCGGCAGTCGTAACATATGATACATATAAAATATATCGATTAAGAGTAACAAATAATTTTAATCAATTTTTTGTAAAAGGCAAAATTAAATTTATAATTAATTTATTCTGTTTAA